GATCCTAAAGACGCGCTCGCTTCCTCCTGCTGAGGGTGCTGTCTGATTTCTACGTTTTCCCTGCAGATAGAAAAGCTGAAATGATATCAAACAAATTTGTTTTCCTAGTTTTGTGCAAGCATTTGTTGTAGTCTCCTTGAAAACTCAGCTTTCACCTGCCCGGAGCAGATGCTTTGTCTCATGAGGCATCTCCGCGACGTGATATTGTCCAGTATTCCTCACTGCTGGAAAATCGCTCGCAATTTCTTCCCAGGTCCCCTCCCAGCAACAAAAAGAAGATGGCTTTGCATTACACCGGGCCCTCTTCTGCAGCAAAGGATGTGAGCACGCCAGAGGATACGGCCAGAAAGCAGCTCTCCACAAACGGTGAACAGAGTACGTCAAGTTTAATAAAGATGACCCAATTCTCTCTCTCGAGTCACCGCAGTTTAAATTTGGATCGGTGGCCAAAGAGGTGGGAATGGTTCTCAAATTCTGAGGGCAGTGCTTAAGGCTTTGCTCAGACTGGGAGGAAATATTGATGAGTACTGATGGATTTTTTTTTGGGAGCTTGGTTTGGACCCCAAGCCCGTGTCGAAGGACCCCGAGGGCGCCTGGGATGGTCTCTCACCGTACCCACTTTCCACAGGTGTGAACAAATCCCTCTGCAGTGACACAGAAAGCCTCGGTGGGAGCTGTGAATCTCGGTCCCTGGACTCTCCCAATTCCAGCCCAGGTGAGAGACACAAAAATTCTTGCCTAATATCACCCAAAACGGGAATAAAGTCCACGCTGACCCACTTTGCGCGTCGTGAAGATGACAACAGCTGTTTGTATTTTCTCTCTTCTCAAGGAAACTCTGACAGAAAATTGCTGAAAGCTCCATCCACCGGCACCATGTCCTCCTCAGATGATTTTGAAGAGAGAGATTCCCTGCAAACCTTTGAGAATGGTGAGCCCGCACACTTACTCGACTCATGAGGTGAAAACGGTGCTTACATTTCAGTCCCTTTTCATCCTTCAATGCTGTTTCTGCAGAAAACGGGACATCCCAGCAGCAGTTTAGGAACATCCTCCTCTCCAGCGCAGCGCAGACCCACCGGCTCCGGAAACTACGGGGACCGTCCAAGTGCAGGGAGTGCGATACCTTCATGGTCAGCGGCTTCGAGTGCGAGGAGGTGAGGGCTGGAAGGTGGCATTGGAGATGTCCTTGAGTAAGCCACCGGCTTACTTTTAGCCTGGAGAAGAGAAGGCTGAGGGGAGACCTCATCACCACCTACAACTGCCTCAAGGGAGGTTGTAGAGAGGTGGGTGCTGGGCTCTTCTCCCAGGTGATGGGGATAGAACAAGGGGAAACGGCACCAAGCTGTGCCAAGGGAGGTTCAGGTTAGAGCTAAGGAGGAAGTTCTTTACTGAGAGGGTCGTCAGAAGCTGGCACAGGCTGCCCAGGGAGGTGGTGGAGTCACCATCCCTGGATGTGTTTAAGGAGCGGGTAGATGAGGTACTTAGGGATATGGTTTAGGGGGTAGATGGGAGCGGGTGGACACGATGATCTCAGAGGGCTTTTCCAACCGAGTGATTCTGTGTGTGTGTGTGATTCTGTGCTGCTTGCCCAAAACAACCCTCTAGGGGTTGGTGGGACCTTGGTGGTTGAGGGAACAGGAGAAGTCCTCCCAGTTCACCCACTGCCGCAGTGCTGGACCACAACTGGGCCATAACTGGGGTCGGTTCTGCTGTTTCAGTGCTGCCTGGCCTGCCACAAGAAGTGTCTGGAGAACCTGCTCATCACCTGCGGCCACAAGAAGCTGCCCAACCGAGTCCCTCTTTTTGGCATCGACTTCACGCAGGTTCCTCGAGATTTCCCAGAAGAAGTTCCCTTCGTAGTGGTGAAATGCACCTCGGAAATCGAAGCCCGCGCCCTCAGCGTGCAGGTGAGCGGTCGGTTTTTCTTGCTTTGGTCTTCTCTTCTCTGCATCCAAAGCTCCTGACCTCTCCTCTGAACCACGCAGGGGATCTATCGGATAAGCGGATCCAAAGCCCGGGTGGAAAAGCTGTGCCAGGCGTTCGAGAATGGACGGAGCCTGGTGGAGCTCTCCGAACACTCCCCCCACGACATCACAGGGGTCCTGAAGCATTTCCTGAAAGAAGTGAGTACCAGACCTCTGCTGGGAGGGCAGATCTTGGCCGACCACGTTCCTCAGGACCAGCAGGACGAAGTAACGCTCTTTTCCTCCCATCTCACCGCAGCTTTCGGCGCCGGTGCTGCTGTCCCAGCTCTATGACGACGTCATCGCCCTTGCCAAAGATTTGCAAAAACCTGGGGATGAAAAGTCGGACTGCACCAGCTTTTCTTCCGATGCCATCCAGAGCATGAAGGATCTGCTGAGCAAATTGCCTGGCAGCAACTACAACACTCTGCGGCACCTTATCGCACACCTGTACAGGTGAGGAGCGCGCTGGTTTAGGGTCAGGTCTGACCACGGGAGGTCCTTGTTGAGACCTCGCTGCCAGAGCAGCGGCGTGTGGGCTTCCTTGACCTGGGAGAGAGCTGAGCTAGAGCCAAGCAGGCAGTTGAGGAGGGTAAAAAAAGCATTAATTAATGGAAAGGAGCATCTTGTAGCAATTAGGAGGTGGTGTTAATGACAGAGAAGGGCCAGAAGGTCCTCACTGATGATAATTCGTAGTTAAATGTGGAACAAGAGGTCAAGGAATACCACAAATCGAGCCCCTTTCGCCCAGCTCTGAGGGGAGGGCACAAGAAGCAGTCGCTCTCGTTTGGGCTGCGTCGTCCAGACAGATCCAGGCAGCTGCTGAGATTTTTCTCTGGAGTTTTTCTGCACGGACCAGAGCTCTGTAAAAGACTGAGGGGAGGTCTCTCTCTACCAGGAAATTGGGTTTTGGTGCATTTGGGTTGAGGGCTGAGAAGCCCCTAACAGTCCTGTTTCCCTTCCCCAGGGTGGCAGAGAAATACGAAGAGAACAAGATGTCCCCAAACAACCTGGGCATAGTTTTTGGGCCAACCCTGATCCGGCCGGGCTCGGGGAGTGATGTCTCCATGTCGTGCCTCGTTGACTCTGGGTATCAAGCTCAGATTGTGGAGTTTCTCATTCAGAACTATGAAAAGGTGTTTGGGATGGATGACCTGCCCTCATCCTTAAACCTCGGATGTGAGAATCCTTCGCCAGAAGCATCAATGGAAAAGGATGAAGGATCTCAGAGCCCAAACACAATCCCGAGTACAAGTCTAGAGGTAGAGCTCCCAGACGCCGAGCTGGGCTTGCTGACCCTACTGTAGAGGCAGGAAGGTGGACTAGCAATTAAAGAGACCTTTTTTTCATGGATAAAACTGCTTCCTATCAGAGGGTTATTCTGGGAGGAAGGAGCAGAGAGCCTGTGCACATGGAGTGGGAGAACCAGGAAAAGTCAATAAATCATAAGCCACAGATCACTCAGCAGCTTCCCAGACCAATCTGGCTGCTGGTTTTGCTCCGTATGTTTTAGATCCCAGCCGTACTGAAAAACGGTGGTGTTCTCCATGCTGGATTTCTGGAGATGCTGCTGTCAACAGCTCTACAAATCTGGAAGCAGCTCCGTGCACTTGAGACCCAGCACATCCCCAGTACATCCCCAGTACAGCCCTACTGGGCTCTGCTGGGTCCCTGAGCAGTGCCCACAGACCCTGTTTTTCTACCCCTACTACTGAGCCTTCTGTGTTCCTCCCAAGCTCTTTCCTCACAATATTTCACACACTTTCAAAAACACAAATGGGTTTAGCATCCCTGGGCTGGGACATGGTGGGTTTTTACCTTTTCACAGCTGGGTGCAAGACTTGGTGTCTGCAGTGACCATACCCATGTCTGGCACACGGTAACGCTGCTTCCTCTACAGGTCCAGCTCACTGAGGAAGCAGAAATTAGAATAAATTATGATTGCAGTTGAAATAAAATCACCAGGGCAGACACCATTCACTTCTTGTGTGCAGAAATCCTGCAGGATTAATAAACCTTCACAGAAAGCACTTGGAGATCCACACAATTGTGGCCTTTGGCCATTTTCAAAGCCATTTTTACCTGCTTCTGCAGCGGGACTGAATTCCACAGCATCACAAACCTTTAACAAGGGGAGCTGCTGCTAAGGGCACTCTCATTTTGCCATTAATAAACCTGACCTGATCCCTGTGCAAACTCACACCAGTCCCACATCAGTGAGAACTCCCAGGCACTCCCCTGTCCTCCACTCATCCTCACATTTGGCCATAATTACCGTGCTCCAATTAATGGCTCGGTTTCTGATATTTCCCTTTCGGTTCTGAAATGGGCTGCTCCAGCATCCCACAGGACATGGGAATCCGTCTGCACACGCTGCTTTCTGGGGCAAATTTTGTGGCAGCTTGGGTCTGCCAGCATCGATGCTGGAGTTGGCAGCTCTTGAACCATCATTTTCTGCCCTGTGACCTTCCCCAAGCTCCCTCCCTATTTCCTCATGGGTTACAGACAATCTAAGAGAAATCAAGGCATTCTCAGCTCAAGCAGTTGCCTCCTCTAACAATATCTGGGCTAATTGGGAGTTGACAGTACCTTCGTGTCAAATGAGGGCCCTGTATAAACACTGATGGCTTTTTCCAACAGAATTTCTCCTGCAAGCACGGTTTAGACGAGGACTGTGTCTCTGATAACACCAGGGAAGCCATCCATGAGCTGACTCTGGAGGGAGCCCACAGTCCGTTAAGCACAGATGCCCTAGGTAAATGATCCTGATGCTGTTAGAGGTTGTTTTATGCCCTGTCTCCTGGTTTTCACACCTCCTGCCTGCCTGCCTCTGCATTACACAGCAGAGAAAGCAGAGCTGGGCCCTTTCTGGCATGGCTGCTCAGTGATTTTGCAGGTAACCTATTGCAGAGCAGCCACATGAAGCATGAAAGCACCAGCACATTTTCTGCTGGCTTTGGGAAGGGCTTTTCCCTGCTGCTGCCTCAGCTTTCGAGCTTTTGAGTCAAGGCAGCTTTAAGAAATATAAATTTTTAAATAAAATTCATGTCTTGTACCTCTTTCAAATGCATACCTTGCGATCGCTCCCGGTCAACGAAGCTGTTGGAGGGAGGTGTTTGAGCCTGTTAACGCAGGAGGGATTTGGGTGTCCTTTCTAACAGGAAAAAGAAGTCAGCAGCCCAAATTGCTTGTCGTGGTAACCTTGCCTCGCTGTGCTAAGATAATTGTCTTAATTTCTTGTTCAGAGATGAATACGAGCGTGGGCTCTGAGCTGGAGGACCTGGAGGACTCTGTGCAGGAGAAGACAGACAGTGATTCGGACACGGCCCTCGGGACCCAGCCCAGATGCCATTTCAGCCGACAACCCGTAAAATACATCCGAACACCGGCAAAACCAAAACCAGTCATTCCCAATTTGCCCTTGAGGACTACCACGTTAGCCAACGTGGCAACCGAGTCCGGTGCAGGAGGTAACCTTACCGAGAGCAGCTCCACGACGAAGGATGTCCTGGAGGAGAGCAGCAGGACCAGCGTGACCGACACAAACGCACTCAAGCAGCGCTTGGGAGGGAGACAACAGCTCAAACGTTTTGAGATCACACAGGAAACAGCCAGGATTGTCTCCAAATTTAAAGTCGATGATGCTTCTGCGTGCCCTGAGCCTTCTCTGGAGAGCGTGGCATCTACTGAGAACGAAGAGGACCTCAACCCAGGGACGTACCTATAGCAAAAAGAATAAGGATAACAGATAACAGCAGGAAAGGGAGAGAAAGGAATAGTGATCGGGTGCAAACACCATCCTAGTTGTATTTACTATGCAGGCTGGAGAAAAGGCGCCTGGCAGGCTTTCAGCTAGCTCAGGATTTGCTTTTTATTTGTTAATAAACCCACACCAGTGATAAGGAGAGAGCCCAAGGGCTCACTTGCTCTCTGGAAGATGCCCTCCTTAGCATGAAGCAGAGGAAACACAGATTGCTGGGGTAGAAAGGAAGGAGGCAACTGAAATGTAGGACACTGGACAGAAACCGGGCTCAAACGGTCAGTTTGAGTTGATTTTTTCGGTCAGTTTTATTTCACAGCATTTTTGAGTGGAATTCAGTTGTTGAATGTAAGAGAACAGGGCACACAGGTAGAGCTCGTGTGTGTGCTCTGTATCCTCCTGCTCCCCTTGCTGGAGCATCAACCTGTGAGTCAGCACAAAGCCACTGTGCATGGGGAAAAGGCGCTGCCGTGCTCCGAGCCGGACCCCGTTTCCCCAGAACTTTAATTCTGTTTCCCTCAAAGCACCCTGAGCTCCTGCAATGCTTCCCCGTGAAGCTGCTGCTGTGGTGGGGAAAGCGATGCCCTGAACCCCCAGATCAGGAGATTTTTTTGGGTCTAAGATGAGGTTGCTGGGTCTCACCTGCATTTGGGTTACCCCACTGCTCCTTTCTGCCCCCACTGCAGCAGATTTCCTTGCAGATTTTCTTTCTTTTCAGACCTTTTTCCTGCCCACCAGATTTTACCATGAGGACAGGGAGGACGCTGTCCTGCAGTGCCATCTTGTGATGCAGGCGTGGGGAAGGCAGAGTTACCGGTTTCCTTGGTGTTTAGTTGCGTAGACAGCACGAAATTCAGACAACAGCATCAAAACTTCTGCGTTAGGGCAGATTTCAGCGACCACCATCAGCTGGCAAAGGCACCAGGAGAGGTACAAAGGCATCAGAGTGAAACGCTGAAGGAAATAATTCTGCTTTCCCCAAACAGCTCAAGAGTTTAAACGATCTGCATTACAAATTTCTCACGTCTCCTCAACAGACTGCGAAGAAACGGGACCAAACCACCGAGTTGGAAAAGAAATGCTAAGGATTTCATCTTAGTATTTGTACAGTTCAGGCTCAAGAGAGTTTGCATCTCTGGAGCGATGTATATTTGTTAATACAGTGCTTTGAATTCCTGAATACTAAATTATCACTTACTGGAGGACTTCTGTAATAAATTACCGGGTGTTTTATGAGAAGCTGCTTCTGCATTCGTGAAGCGTGAATAGGGAAGCCTTGAGTAAACACTTGCTGGATGGTTATTAAAAATGCCAAGTGCACTCAGGTCTCTATAAAACAAAGGTAACGCCCACAAGATTTTATAATTTGAGGAACCAGCAGGGCTGAATAATAACCCTGGTAAAATCCCTGGTTTTCTTTTCCTGCTACGCGCTTAAATAGGAAAAGAGGAGATTCCTTCTACACAGGAGAAGCGTTAAGGGCTCGTGCAGTCCCACTCCTGTCCAACACACACAGAAAAAAAAGCAATTAGAGCAGACACCCTCGCTCTTACCTCGTAACTCCTCGTTATTCCCTGCTTTCCACAGAGCTGGTAATTTACTGAGGGTAGGAGCTGCCAAGGCACCGCTTCCAGCCCGAGTTGTGCGGCTGCCAGGTCTCACTCGCACGAGGAAAGCTTGGATGCAGGGTCCGAAATTTCCCTCCTCCTGCTCGGGATGGGGATTTTCTGTCATATCCAGCCACAGCCAACACGGTTTGGGTTGGAAACCGAGATGCTGAATTGCAGAAGAGCCTGGGCAGGGAGGGAAGCATCGTTTCCTCAATTTCTCCCACCTCCTTGAGGTTGTGCCTTCGCTTCTAAGGAACAGCCCCAGCTGTATTTGTGTATGGTGAGGGACAGGCCACAGCCCTGGGAAGCACTAACAGCGAACAACCTCATTTCCTCAGTGAAAGTGAGCGCAGAGAAAATAATTACAACTTTTATAAGATATTTCCTATCTTATTTTTACAGCAGGATCTTACACTGATGTCTGTCTGACCCTGCAGCTCGGAGATAAGCACCATTTTCTGTGTATTTGATATAAAAAGCCATAGTAATCCTCTTGAGAAAACCTTTTATCAGCCAACCAACCAATGAACCAATTCCTTACTTCAAGCTTTTAAAAAAATTATTATTTTCACAGAATCACAGATGTCAGGAGTTGGA